TTTATGTGAAACACTCAAAGTAGGCAAATTTAGAGAGACAGAAGGTAAAGTAGTGATTGCCTAGGGTGAAGGTGGGGGAAAATGGGGAGTGACTGCTAATGGGGATAGGGTTTCTTTTTGTAGTGATAAAATTGTTCTAAAATTAGATTGTGGTGATAGTTGCACAACTCTATAAATATACTAAAAACCATTGAATTGTACACTTAAAATGGGTGAATTGTATGGTGTATGAATTATATCTCAATAAAACTATTATATTAAAAAAAAGAAAGCAAAGTTGGCTTTGGATTTCCTAAAGTAAAGTAGTAGACAAAGACATAATTGCTAACCCATGTAGTGATATGACAACCAGCAATCTTAATCTTTAAAAACAAAGAGCTAGTTTTCAACTCCACTGGGGTTACTTTTCTCTAGAAAAATATATTCATTTGCTCACTCCTTCAACAAATTAGTGTTTATCGGGCCCTACTGAGTACCTGACACTGTTCTTGGTACCAGGAACTCAATTATGTTCCTGATTCTTCTTTTCTTCGTCTCCACATGCAGTCAGTCACCAGGTCACATCAAGTCTATTTCACATCCTTTAGTCCATCCCTCTGTTCTCGTTCCTTTTTACCAGTGTGCCTGGTTCTATTACCCAGTCCAGTGATTCTCAGCCACAGTGTTAATATTAGTAAAGTACCGAAGTTTGCAAATGTTTTACCTTAAAAAAAGTTAGAGGATAATCCTGTAAATGTCTCTTTCGCTGACTTGCATTCCACTGTATGTTTGTGAGTGGGAGAGAAAGTGGTAGCATTACAGCTGGTGTGCCAAGAATTGCACACAATCCTCAGTGCCTATGGGAATATTTTGTGAATGTGCACTTCATCCATTTTGCATGTTCTCAGGAAACATCAAGAATTTGTGAGTTGGATTAATACAATCACATTGTTAAAAAATTCATATTGCTCTAGTTTCAATTCTCACTGAATCATTTTTGCCAAAGATCTTTCTTTTTTAATTGAAATATAGTTGACATATAACATTCTGTTAATTTAAAGTGTACAACATATTAATTTTTTTTTTTTAAAGATTTTATTTATTCATTTTTTCCCCCCAAAGCCCCAGTAGATAGTTGTATGTCATAGGTTCACATCCTTCTAGTTGCTGTACGTGGGACTCGGCCTCGCGTTGGACGGAGAAGTGGTGCCTTGGGGCGTGCCCGGGATCTGAACCCGGGCCGCCAGCATCAGAGCGCACACACTTAACCACTAAGCCACGGAGCCGGCCCCCAACATATTAATTTGATACATTTATATATTGTAATATGATTACCATTGTAGCAATAATTAGCACCTCTGTCACATTATGTAATTTTCACTTTTTTAGGGGTTAGAATAATGAAATTCTAGTCTCCTAGCAAGTTTGATGATTTTAATAAATATTATTTATGTTCACTGTACCATGCATTAGATCTCTAGGACTTATTTGCTACTCGTTGCAAGTTTGTACCCTTAAACAACATCTGTTCTATCCTCCCAACCTCCATCCCCTGGTAACCACCATTTTACTCTCTATTTCTACGAGTTTGTCTTTAGATTCCGCATATAAGTGATATCATACAGTATTTATCTTTCTCAGTCAGTTAGCATAATGTCCTCAAGGTTTCAAAGATCTCTTTCTAACATCCATATCTGATCATGGCATTTTCCCAGTTAGATTTCTTCAGTGACTCTGCATTGCCTGTAAGAGAAACTATAAATTTCTTGGCATGATATGCTAGGTCATTCATGATCTTGCTCCTATCTTTCTGTCCAGCTTCGTCTCCAGCAAGGCATATCCTCTCTGCTTTCGTGCCTTTCACGTGCTCTTCTGTCTGTCACAAAATGCCCTTCCCATGATTTGTGAGTGCCAAACTCCTTCTTTCAGGTCTCACCGCTCTGTGAAGTAGACTTAGGTTTCTTCTACAGTGCTCCCATTGTGTTTTGTAATAGCACTTTTCATAAAATGTATTATAATTATTTAATACCTTGCTTTCCCTTTGTATTTTTAGTTCCTTGAGAACCAGAACCTTGTCCTTTTATCTTTGTGTTCTCAGCTTTTAGCGTGGAACCTGGTACAAAGTAAATGCTCAATAAATATTTTCTGAATAAGTTCAAAATGAGTTTCTCCAAAAATTTTAATTTGTCCTAAGTGTTTATATATTACAATATGTGATGAAATTAAGGATTAAAAATACTTATTTGACTCTATATCCCATGTTTCCTGGAGCAGTTCCAATTTTAAATAGTCTAGTGTATTGTCCTTTAAGTATAAATGTAGTTACCAAAATGTCATAATTTTGTGTTTAGAAATATATGCATTGAACCTATATCTTAATTTTTAATTGTTTACAATTTATTTTTCTACTTTGATTTCATGTACTTTATATCCTTTTTCTGATTCAGATCATTTTCAAAGCAACAGATAGTGAAAAGTTGAAATTTAGGATAGAACAATATGTAAATTGTTTTTCTATTTCTCTCATTTTGCTGTGCACTTTGGGACTAATTGCTGCACATCTGTATTTATATGACTATTAATGAATAAAAATTATTAGATTTTTAGAAATCCTTAGTTATAAGGATGTGCATAATAAGTTTAAGTTTGGTACCAACAGCTGCACTCTCAAAAATATTCTGACTTTAGGATGCTACTAGGATAGTAGCTCTGATCTTTTTGGACTTCTGTTATTCTGGTGTGGTTGGTTTGATTTGGGGATCCCAATTTTACTCCTTACCCTTCTAAAGGTAACTTATTTATCTTTAAATCAAATAGATTAAAATAGTTTCGTTTTGAGAAATGATTAATACCCTCAAGCTAATTGGAGGTTACATAGCATATTACATAGCCATGGAGGGTAATCATACATGAAAATGCATGTCAGAGACACTCGGAGAACTCCCAGTCAGGGTCTGGTGTTGGCCTAACTCACTCTATCTTTGACTAGAGAGGAGAGAGATGTTAGCAAAGTAAAAACAGTGAGAGGTTTGGAGCCGGAAAGGTTGGGGTATAAATTATGGTTCTGTGACCTTCTATCTGTGTTTCTTTGGGTAAATCAATCTCTTTGAGCTTCAGTTTCATCATCTGCAAAATGAGATAATACCTACTTGAAATGGTTATGAAAATTAACAGTAGTTTCTAGAATAGTAGTGCCTCGTTAAGTTCTTCATAAATTGTAACTCCTATTTGATTAGTATTAATAAAACCCTGGCAATAGTTAAAAGGTTTTTTTTGTTATGCTAAGTATTGTATAATTTGATTTATTGAGTAGTTGTTACACCATCTCTGTTTCCCAAGGAGGTTGGTCTTTGACATTCTGAAAACAAAGTGGTTTATAGATGAAACAGATCAACAAGCAGAGTGAATGATTACTGTCACCTTGTCCAGAAGAATACGTTCCTTCACTACTGTCCCCTAACATACCAATTAGAGGACAACATGAATCCATGTAATTTACCTTTCATTTTATTATACATGATATTGTTAGTACTTCTTCCTGCCTACATAGGTTCCTGGTCATGTTAAGGAGTTCGTTTGGCCAGAATCCTTTGGTCTAGTCAGTCACAGTGTCTCTCTCTTTCAGACCTTCTCTGCAATCAGATATTTAAATCAGTGTCTTTTCACTCACAACAAATAATCTACATTACAGAAAAAAAAAAAAAAGAACAAAGAGGAACTTTCCCAAACTCCAGCCATTGAATCTACAAATCTACTTGTTTGTAGACCCATTTTTCCCTTACTGCTTCCTATTCAAGTGTGTCATATTAAGACCCTCCTTCGATCCACACCTGCCTCCGGTTATTGCTCTGTGTGCTTTCACTTTGCAGCCAAACTTTCCGAAAGAGCTGTCTAGATTCACTTTTCTGTGTTCTCCCTATAGTCACTACCCAATCACAAATTTGGCTTTGGTTACTCGACCTCCCTAGAACTGTGCTCACCCTCCTGATTGCTAAATCCTGTGGCCACACCTCTGTTCTTGATCTCTCGACTTTGGGCGCATATGACTACTTCTTGTTACTTACTGTGTACCATACTCTTCTGTGGCTCTTCCTGCCTCTGTGACTACTCCTTTTCAGTCTCCTCTTCTTCCTCTGCCTGCCCCTTAAATGTTGATGTTTTCTCCCAGGCCCCTTACACATTTTCCTCAGGATTTAGGAGGTGCTAAGTGACTATTTGTTGAATGAACGAATTTTGTCTGTATTGATGGTTTCTCAAGAGATTTGACTGTAGTTGGACCTTTTTAACTGAAGAAATTGCAATATATCATACATACCTATCTTGCACTTCACAGCCAAACTTGGTTCCAGTCTCTCTGAAACATGATTCTCTTAAACTACCCTACTACAAACTTGCAGTGAAAAAAACCCAAGGTCATTATTTGGCTTTTATGTCTGTGAGGTTCAGTTAGCTTTTTCTAAGTTCTCTGTATGTAAAAGGTAATTACAAAGGTAATTACAAAGGTAATTTTAAAAGAGCTGCATTATCCCAGATTTTTATACCAGTTGGACTATTTACAGAAATCTTACAGCATAGCTGTCCGTCCTCAATAAAATACCTTACTTGGAGTAACAATTTGTTTTAAATATACTCTGAAGTATGTACTCTGAAGTTGAGGATTAAAAGAGGGAGGAGAATTAATATTTAATGAAACTGTTTTGTGCCAGGCACCAGCCTGTGTGTTTGCCTACATGTAGATTTTCATCTTTCAACAACTCTGGAAGATAAATATTCTTAGTCATCTTGTAAAGAGGAGAAAATGGAGGTTAAGGGAAGTTAACTAGATTGTACACTGTAACATATGCAGCTACTAAAATTCAGAACCAGAGTTCTGTTGGACTTTATAGCCCGTGCATCTTTTCCAAATGATACTGAAAATAGAAGCTGGGGATGAATGCTAAATATAGAAATAAATGGTATAAATACTTGAGTTTAGTAAATCTAAATTGTATTAAAAGTTGTCTGTGTCATTTTGTCCCTAGGCAGTTATTTGGCAGAAAACTAGAGTATCAGATCATAAGATGGCTCTCATGTCTGTTCTGGGGACTGGCGTTATGGGCAATATGGAATCCGTGCGGTACCACTCAGAAGAATCTCAGGTATACAACAAAAGTGTTCTTTAAAAATTCTAATTTAACGATGAAACTGTTAAAGGATTTCCGTTTTGGGGGGTTGAGATGGCAAGAGGTTTTTCTTTTTTATCAAATTTGTATTAGGTAAAAAAGAAAATACAGAGCTTATAGTAAACCTCTCTCCCCAGCCCTGCTTCCTTTTTTATCTTTTCTGTTTGTTGTTTTTAATTTTCAGTATTGTGCTTATGTTAATTTTTTTAATAATTTTCAATTTAGGATCTCATCTATTTACTTTTCACCATGAAAGAAAAAGAGTTGAGCTCTCTTACCTTTGTTTTCCCTTTCCCATCCTAAGTAAATACTCCCAGTTCCTTTTCTTGATCTAGCAGCTTCAGACGGAACTTCTTGAGTCCCTATAATACTGGATGAAGTTATTAACACTCCCACTCTTACTTCTGCTTGCCCTTTCCTCTCTCAGTCATGTCAGCTCTACTCTTATGTTATCAAGCTCAATAACTTGTTTTCTTCTGTAACCATTTGTTGTCTTCCATCTTTTGTTTGAAGATTGAGTCTAAAAAGTTGAAAACTTATATGGAGTATACATTATTATGCCTATAAATTATCTTCATTATAAACCCAAGTATTGTGCTAGGATTACATTTTTTCTCTAAAGATCCAGTGTTATGTCTCTATGCCATACAAATGAGAATATTCCTATTGTCCCAATTAAATGGAATCTCCTTTTTTGTTCTCCCATCAGTTGCTCAAAATTTGTCATGTTTTTCTTGCTTTATGTATGAGCTATCTTAATATAGTTTTTTGCTTTTTCTGGGTTTCCAAAAGTTTTTTTCTTTAAGTGAAGAAACTTTCTTCATCATGTCAGCAATAAAATCCAGCTCTGTGAGTTATTCTAGCTAAAACTGGTAATCCATCCCATTCTTTTTGAAGTAATTGTTCTTAGAACCCATTTATTTCTTATTTGCATTGATTGCATGTTAGGCGTTATGCGCAACTCATCCTGGGATTTCTTTTCATAGGACTACTGCTTTTTTCCACTGTTTTTTGTATTTCATGCTTTCTTCTTTCTTGGTATTCATTCTCGTTTTTCTGATAATACATCTTTAAGTAACTTCCACAGGAAAGAGACAGGAGAGAGAGATTTTGATGTCTGAGAATGACTTTATTTGCACTTTCTCTTGTTCGTAGTTTGGTACACATAGAATTCTAGATTGAAAATAATTTTTCTTCAGAATTTTGAAGACATTGAGTATCTTTGACCATCCATTGTTGCTGATGAGAAGATTAATGCATTCCAATTCTTTCTTTCTAGGTGATATTTTTTTCTATATGAAAGTTGTTAGGATCTGTCCTTCATCTTTGTTCTTCAGTTTTGCAAGGATGTGTCTAGATGTGTGTCTTTTATTATTTATTTGTTATGCTGAGCACTTGGTGTGATACCTTTTGAATCTGACGACTGATTTCTGTTTCAGCTTTGGGTTATGTACTTCCCTCTGTCATAACTTTGATAATTTCTGTTTTTTAATGAAACTATTGTTGAGTAGGACTTCCTCTTATTTTTCTCATTGTTTTTCTGAATTTTCCAATTTTTCTTTTGTGTAAGTTTTTGATCTCTCTGCTATCTTTTACCCCTCTACTGAATTTTTTTTTATTCTGAAAGTATTATGTTTAATTTCCAAAAGCATTTTTAAATTATATTGCTTTTTCTTAACTTCTTATTGGTTTTTTTTGTTTGTGTGGGAGGAAGATTAGCCCTGAGCTAACATCCGATGCTGATCCTCCTCTATTTTGCTGAGGAAGACTGGCACTGGGCTAACATCTGTGCCTATCTTCCTCTACTTTATATGGGATGCCGCCACAGCATGGCTTGATAATCGGTGCGTTGGTGCGCTCCCGGGATCCAAACCTGCGAACCCTGGGCCACTGCAGGGGAGCGCACGCACTTAACCACTGTGCCACCGGGCCCACCCCACTTCTTGTTTTTTTTGGATACAAAATCTTGAATCTCTCTGAAGATATTAAGTTTTTGTTTCTGTTTTTAAATTATTTGTTCCTTAAATTATCTCTTTTTCCTAAGAGATCAGTTTTGTTTTACTTATCAAGTCTTTTTCCTCTGAGCCTCTCCTCTCATTCTCTCTTCCCATGCATAAGAAGTCTAATTGGGAACTCAGTGTTTGTGGCTGGGCTTGTTGACTGTCAGGCTCCATTTGAGTGTTGAGTAATCAAGATCTTGGTCCTGTTCCTGGAGTCTGGGGGAATCACAAGTGCTGTTATGGGATGGGGGCTTACTCTACCCACTGCACCCATACTGACTGCCCTAGGAAATTCACTCATCTCTCTCTCTCCCCTCCATTTTTTTCCTTCTTCTTTTTCTCTTTTTTTTTTCTTTCTAGCACAAAATTAAATTGTAATTGGTTCATGAGAGATTGTCCTTATTCAGTTTCTTTATAGAAGAACTCATTTGTTTGTTGTTCTTGTTTGTCTGCTGACTGTAATCCTGAAGACTCTGTTCTACTCTTCCGTTTTTTCATAGTTTGTTGAAATCTCCTTTCTGCTACTAGTTTCCCTCCTATTCTCTTTGTAGTACTGAGTTCTTAATTATTATCATTTTGTTAGAGTCTTGGATGGGAGCTTATGCTCAATTAATGTGTTAAGAGTTCTCTCTGCCTGAGGAACAATTCAGGCCAGCCTTTGTGGCCAGCTATAATGCTTGGAGCATGGCCATGATCTGACATAGGTCCTGTTTTTCAGAGCTCCGTTAATAGTAGTTGTTTAATAGTTTCAACACACCCCAGTGCCACCTTAGACTGGTTATGGTTCCAGGTACGGCTGGGACTATCACATGAGTCAGTCTTGCAGTTGGGAATTTTTTTCTCTGATCTGTATTGAGGTATGTTGCCAGATCTATGCTTACCCATTTATTTTTTTATTTTCTCTTGAGATAGAATTGCATAAGGGCTGCTGGTAATCTGTCATGGATACCAAAACTTTTGCTGTACCTTCATGTGGTTCTTTTTGCATGGAGGAGTGGGGGAATTTGGAAAGCACGTATTGCTGAGTAGTTCCAGTTCCATGGGCTATCAGAATGATAAATTTTTGAGTGTCTCTCTAGCGAGAGTGATCATCTAACCAAATCCCCTCTTCTTTAATGCACTGTGTGTCTAAATGGGTACTGTATTTATGTTGCCATCAGCTACCCATCACCATTCCATGCTTTCTGGGCTTGTAAGGAGAGTTGTCCTTTATGAGTTTCTTTGACTCATTCTCATTCCTGGCCAAAAGCAATCTTAAGTTGTTTGCCAACTGCTAGTGGTTGCCCCCTCTCACCCCATTTCCATCCCTATTACATACCAGCATTTAATTTCCAACTGACACAGCTGGTTTATGATCTAGAGCACATAGAGCTTTTGACTTCAGCCTTCACTCCCTGTTATGTTTTGTGTCCATAACATCTTTATGTTTGTCTTATTTTTAAATGGTTAGGTCTTTCAAAATTATTGTAAAAATTGATTTTATCTGTCACTGCTATATATTTGTAGTTGGGATAGAGGAGAATGGAGTTTCTGTGTGATTTATTCCACTATCCTGACCAAATTACTTAAATTATTACTTTAGAAACATAACTCCATGGTGTTCTAGGGGTTTACTGAAAGAGGAGAAAGACTAATGTTAGGAGACCAGAGTTACTTCAACATTATCAGGGTAGAGGAGGAGATGGGTTTGACAGATTCGGTAAGTGGCAGGGCTCTTTATCATGGTAAAGGAATACAGGGGCCAATTGGATGGCAGGTTAGAAGTGGGATGAAGTATTTTATCAAGGTTTGAATGTGGTGAGATTGAGATTTTTGTGACAGCTAGTTGAAGATAGTAAGCATTTGGAAGTGCAAGAAATAGCATCATTGGTGTATGTCTATAGATGTGAATGAAATTACTCGGAGGGTAGAAAGCAAGAAAAAAGGGCCCAATGATGGAACTCAGGGGAACCATCATCATTTGTAGGGGATAAGCAAAGGGAGAGAAACCAGCATCAAATTAAAGAGGAAGTATCCTAGAGGAAGCAGAAAGACCAAAAGAGAAGGCTGAAACAGGTTCATGCTTCCCAAAGAAAAGATCGTCATTGGTGTCAGGGTCTGTAGAGCGTCAAATACAAGCAGGACTGAGTGTCCCTTGGAGTTGGTCATTGATGTAGAAGCCAGATTATAGGGGGTTGAAGATGAAGGGAAGGAAAGAGAGAAGTCCATGGTTGAAAAGCAAAAAGAGGACTAGTATTTGTTTATATTTTGCCTTTGATTTTTGTTTTGCTTTTTAGGTTAAGGAATACTTGGTACTCTTTTTAAGGTCTAATTTTTTATTTTGTTGCACTGATTTGGTTTCTTATATTCTTTGTCTATGAACTAGCCTGATTTTGACCTTTTATAGCATTTCATAAGACTTTGCTGTTTGATTTTACTTTTCCATATAACTTAAATATAGTTTGTTAGTTCTTAAGGTTATCTCAAGCCATTTTTAACACTCAATATTTGGAAGTAATAGTAGTTACTCAGTGGCCAAACAAGATGGTGTGAAAGGAAAACACAAGCAATCTTACTAGTATTTTCTTCATTTTAGTCTTCATTCTTACCTATTTGGGGCAGATTTTTTTTTTCTTTTTTAATTCACAAGCCCATTAAGTCTTTCAGAGACTACACAGACTCTCCCTGATGCTCAGCAGGTGCTTTAGAAGGGTTTCATGTTACCTAGTAAATTATTCAACCATTTATAAATGCTGTGAAGTTTTACAGTTAATTAAGTAGTATCATTTTATAATGGATTATCCAGCTTTATTAATTTATTTTTTAAAAATTGGCACAATTTGGCACTGTGACAATAATGCACTTAGCGTTCTAAAATTGGTAATGCATCTCTTTAAACACTTATTTCCAAGGGCAGAGATAGCCATAGACATAGGTGGCAGCCTGCAGGCTATGTTGGTTAAGGAGCCTCATGGTTTCTGCTTAACTAAAAATAGCATGCCCACTGACTCTCTTGCTTTTCTAAACCTAAGCTGAAATTTTATTATTAGTCTTTCTTAACAGGTTAATAACACATCTGGTTCCAGTTGTTTTAGATAAGAGATTATAGGCCTGTATTTTAAATAACTTGACCAAGATCATCACTTGACCATAGCTGCTAGTGGAGCTGGGATTTAAATCATGTTAGTCTGGCTCTATTCTGTATTCTTAACAATTCTCTATATTATCTTTAAAGGTAAAAGTAGGAGCATTTTCCTTGCCTTCTGTCCCCTCAATCTCTCTCTCTTCTCTCTGGTATTTTTTGCTAGGATCCTTCATTTTCTTCCTCCTCTTTATACATTTGTAAAATAGAGAAAGGTAGCATAAAAATAATTGGTTTGTTTGTAGAAAAATTCTCTAAACAAAAATAAAGTAGAATACTGCCATCAGTGTAAAAGAGTACAAGAGATTTTTTTTAACTCAGAAATGAAAACCCAGTCACATTGGCTTCATAGCATACTCAGAATAAAGACACAAATAACCACTTCTTCATAGGAAAAAGTGTTTAAAAAGTAAAGGACAAACAGCCAGAGGAAAGTCACAAATATGAAGAAAGAAATTTTTAAAAGACATAATATAGGGTTGAGCAGAGAGAGAGCAGTATTTGTGCTGTATGTCCTATGACAGTAAGATATATGCCCATTCATGAAGCTTTTATGAATGCCAATTTTTCAATAAAATAGAGTTGCAAAAAGAGAGCTAAAGGCAGAGAACACCAATTAAACATGCTTCAGTATTTTATTTAAGGTTAATGTTCAATACAGTGGTCATCAGAAGTATATGGCTCTTTAGGTCTTAAGATGAAAATCCATTTGTTTATTTTTTTGTACCTATTAGTGTATTGTATATAACCAGACCCATGGAACAACATTTATTGTTGACATTATGCATATTAATTCTGTAATTATTTATTACAATTATAGATTTTTCTTAGTGGATTTCTTCCAAAGCATGATGCAGACCACTCTTGCACAAGTCTTTCAACCCCAGAAAGGAGTTTCATCTTTATAAACAGTCGACCAGTACACCAAAAAGACATATTAAAGGTAATCTATTTTAGAAAAAGGTATCACTTGAATCAGAAATAAAAACTAGCTCTGTCATTTGTCAACTTGTTACAAAGACTACTTCTAAGAATTTGCTCTAAAATAAGGAAAAGGAGAAAAAGTGATACAATGACATTTATTGAGCATTGTGCTAGGTACCTTACATATGATGTCTCATTGACTTTTCACAACTCTGTGATGAATTATTATCCTTATTTATAGTGAAGAAACTGAAATATTAGTGACTTTCTTAGAGCACATAGCCAGGAAGTAACAGAGTTTGGATTTGAACCCTGGACTTTCAGACATCCATGATACTATGGTCTTTTAACCATGAAGCCAGTTGCATTGGATATTTGTACATCTTAATGAATGCTTATGCTTCATATAGGTTCAAGGCCTCTAAATGCGTAGTACATTTAAATACTGCTTTTCCTAATAAGCACTTATATCCACTCAGTTTCTCAGTTGAATATGCTTCTTTTGGTGGTATTTTAAGGATGGCAGTACTGTCTTTATTTACGTGATATTTTTGTCTTTTATTCATTATATATATTTCTAGTTAATCCGACATTATTACAATCTGAAGTGCCTAAAGGAATCTACTCGTTTGTATCCCATTTTCTTTCTAAAAATTGATGTTCCTACAGCTGATGTGGATGTAAATTTAACACCAGATAAAAGTCAAGTATTATTACAGAATAAGGTAACCTTTTTCAGATGCTTTTTGCATTAATTTACAAAACTACTGTTATTTACAAACTTATGCAGTCCTAACCATTTTCATATAAAAAAGGAGATTTGCTTGTTTATATATATTTTTAAAATATTATTTTAAATTTGTGGATTTATTATTTTCATAATTTCCCCTAACATTTGTTAATTTGTATTTTTAGGAATCTGTTTTAATTGCTCTTGAAAATCTGATGACGACTTGTTATGGATCACTACCTAGTACAAATTCTTCTGAAAATAATAAAACAGATGTTTCCTCAGCTGACATGGTTGTTAGTAAAACAGCAGAAACAGATGTGCTTTTTAATAAAATGGAATCATCTGGAAATAATTATCCAAATGTTGATACTTTCGCCATTCCATTCCAAAATGTTGTGCATAATGATGAATCTGGAAAAAACACTAATTATTGTTTAAATCCTCAGATACATGTTGATGACCATTATGATGATCATTTTAGTAGTGAAAATTCTAGCATTGATAAGAACACTAGAAATATATTTCAGGAGATCCCAATGAATAATTTACCATGTGAGGACACTCAGAAGGAATATAGTGAAACTTGTGTAGGTTCTGTTAAGCACACCCAATCCGAAAATGGTAGTAAAGGCCACATAAATGAGAGTGGGAAAAATGAAGAAGCAGCAGATCCTGAGAAGTCTTTGGAAATTAGTGCAGATGACTGGAGCAAGGGAAATATATTTAAAAATTCAATGGGAGAAAACATCGAACCTGTGAAAATTTTAGTGCCTCGAGAAAGTTCAGCATGTAAAGTAAGTAATAATAATAATCATCCAAGCCCTGAACAAAAGAATCTCGGTGAAGGTTCCTGTAACAAAAAATCAAATGTGGTAGATAACAAATCTGGACAGCTTACAGCTTATGATTTAATTAGCAATCAAGTAATCAAGAAACCCATGTCAGCAAGCGCGCTTTTTGTTCAAGATCATCGTGCTCAGTTTCTCACAGAAAATTCTAAGACCAGTTTGGAGGATGCAACGGTACAAATTGAAGAACTGTGGAAGACATTGAGTGAAGAGGAAAAACTGAAGTAAGTTTCCAGAGCTTGCATCTGACCTGAATGCTCAGATATTTCCATTCTATATGACTCACTGGGTTAAAAAAATTTTTTTAACTTCTTATTTATGGAAAAGCAGAATGGAAAATGCCTTTTGGTTTAGCTAGAGTACCTTCTTGGCATCGCTTTTTTTGTTAGAGGTTTTTAGTTGTGGGGTTTTGTTTTTTGTTTTGATACAGGCCTTCACTGCTTTCTAATTTAAGTTTGTATTTAAAGATTTTCCATTCGTAATTTAAAACTACCGTTTTCTTCTATTTTTTTTATTTTATGTTAAAGAATCTTTCTATGACAATACTTTTACTTTTTTAAGCTTATGCGTTAGAAGAATTATAACAGTAGTGTTTTTAAGAAATATCTTGACTATTTATTCCCTTTTATAACTTGGTCTCCAAAATATGTAACACAAAACAAAAATTGTAACATTGTTGCAGATTCAATTTAGTGATGTTAGTACTGTCTATTCAGTGTAACTCAAGGCTTCCTTCTAGAATCTTTTATTTATTTATTTATTGGCAGCTCATAAACTACAGTCAGTTTTTTTTGTAGGTAAATAGATGGTTTGATCTATCTTTGATTAAAATAACTACATATTACTTGCCATCTTTAGATCACATGATCCGAATAAATATTTCAAAATAATATGAAGGGTGTTTCTAATTGACTTAGGGCACTTACTGTAAATACAAAATACTATGTTTTGAGTGATTTAGCCCACCAGAAAATGAAAGAGTGGAATTATACTTCCAATCACATATTATTATCTAAGACATCTCAATATTATGTCAAACATCTGGGGAAAAAATTTAAATGTAACCTGTCATCCAGAGTTTATATTTGACGGTAAACTACATGAATATGTGATCAATTTTTTTTTCATTTTTTCATTAGCTTATTCAGTCTTATAAAGACATTGTCAGTTTAAAATAATAAAGACCACTATTAACACCAATAGGTAAAACCTCCATAAACTAACTTCTCTCTTCACCTTTTTTTTTTGGTGGGGATGGTTGTGTGTTTTGTTCTTTTTTCAAACATAGAGAAAAGTAGACAAAACGGTACAATGAACCCCTCACCCTATGTCACTAACCACCATCTCAAGGTCAGTCCCACTTCAGCTGTACCTCCACTCATTTCACTTTTACTCTTTCACCATTATTATTCTGAAGGAAATCCTAGGATAATATCATCTGTTTCATAAATATGTTAGTATATATCTGGAAAAGGTATAAGATACTCTTATTTTAAATATAGCCATAATACAATTGTCGTAACTTTTTAAAACATGAATTCTTTAATGTCATCAAATATTCATTTTACAAATTTCTAATTATTTCATGAATGTCAGATTTTTTTTTTAAAGTTCGTTTCTTTGAATCAGGATGCAAATAAGGTTCACAAATTGTGATTGTCTTTAAAACTAAGTGACAGGGCCGGCCCCGTGGCTTAGCGGTTAAGTGCACGCGCTCCGCTGCTGGCGGCCCGGGCTGCTGGCGGCCCGGGTTCGGATCCCAGGCGCGCACCGACGCACTGCTTCTCCGGCTATGCTGAGGCCGCATCCCACATACAACAACTAGACGGATGTGCAACCATGACATACAACTATTTACTGGGGTTTTGGGGGAAAAAAAATAAATAAATAAAAAATTTAAAAAAAACAACAAAAACTAAATGACACAACTATGCAGTTTAAAGACGAGTACACTTAACTTTTAATACAGCAAGCCCACAAAAGTTGAATTGCATTGACCAGGGAGGTGATGAATTGAGAGTTGTCTGAGAATAGAAAAAATAAATCATAGATGTTGCCAGTTCTCGTGAAAGTAGGGACAGTGTAACAGCTTAAGATAGCTATTCCCTTGCAGTCTCACAACAGCAGGTATTGTTCCAGTTGCCTTTTGGGGAATGTCAGCATTATTTCTCCTTGTAGGCCCCAAGGTGTCAGGAATATGGTTAATAGGCCTCATCTAAAAATTTGTTTATTCTGGAATCCAAAATTTTCACTATCTTATTGCCATAAGGTAGACAAAAGAGGCACTGTTGGTCAAGAGCAGACCTCTGAATCTACACCTGGGTTCTAACCCCAGTTCCTCTCTTTGCTAGCTTTTTGTAAAAAATGTGTAGACAGTATCTTCTGGATTGTTGTGAGGATTAAGTAAGATATTGTGTGTTATGATACAGGATGAATGACTGGCACCTAGTAAATGATTGCTCCTGATGTTAATCAGAGTTTTCCATCTGTGAAAAAGAAATTTCTCTGTTGTAATTGATATTATTTTTCGTTTGCTTAATTAAGATTAAATTTAATTTGGAGGCCAAAAATAGAAACCTGTGAAGACAATATAGGTATCTTGAGATCAGAGAGCTTACTGTATGTCACAAACTGCTGTATTAGAATCTTCCAGAGCTAGGGGTCTTGGGACCATGATCGGCTGTGTCCAAAATCACGATTAGTGAGAAGGTAGAGCAAAAATGATATCACACAAGAATCACACTAACTACCACTTCTCCTCTTTATCTTGGAATTCTTTATCTTTATCTTGGAATTCGTTCTATGATCCTAAATTCTACAAGGAATGCTAAAGGATATACGAGTAGACTTCTCTTCTGCAGATAATCAGTCTTTCCATCCATCCATCCTGTTCTCCTGTTCTTTCTTCCTGTTTCTTTCCCTTCTGTGTTCCCTCCCTTATTTCTTCTTTTTCACTTCCCTTCCCTTCTTTATTGACGGCATTCTGTGTACAAACCCTATGTACTCTAACTAGTCACTTCAGATACAGTGATAAATAAAACATACTTTCTCTACTTATAAATGGTGTAGTCTAGTGAGGAAGACACAATTAAACAAATAGTAATCATAGAATGTGATGAATTTCAAAATAAAAGAAATATAGAGTTATGAAAACACTTAGCAGTTGGGCTTAATCTCATTTATTGGACAGGAAATGCTTTCCTGAATGGAAATCGATCAGAAAAGTGTAGGGAATTTTTTAGGTAGAAGGAACAACATGTAAGAAGGCCTGGAAGCTAGAAGGAAAATTATGTTATTGAGGAACTAAAAGATACCCTCTATGACAGGAACAAAATATGGGGGAGTGTGGTAAAGAAAGATGAGGAAGGCAGGCCATGGAATGTTCTGTAATTCATAACCAAGAGTTTGAATAAGAACTAGGATCACGGTTTTCTGCTGAGAGCTTAGGACAGATTTTGGAGTAGAGAGTACTTTCATTTTTTTAGTTCTTCCTTTCTGGATTTTTTTTTTTTCTTGCTTTGCTCTCCTTTCCTCCAGTGGATTAGAAACCAAATTTAGGCTATGTGCCCTGCCACTGGGGTCTTAGTCAATGGATGTTAACTTGAACAGTAGCTATGAACATATTTCTGCTTAAAATAACCAAGAATAATATTGTAATTGGGTATTATTGAAAATGGTAAATAAACTTCATAATTACATGTAATCTTTAGTCACAAAAACATCATTTGAATTCATTATTCTTAAAATCAAAATATTTTTCATTCAAGTTACTAAATCCCTTAATGACATTAAATCAAAGGTAGCAGCTGTTTTTTACTTAACATATACTTAATATTCCTTTGGACATAACTTTTTATATTTCCTAAGGAACTTATTAAATTGACTTCTTGAGTAAATCAAAAGATTAATACCATATGTGAAAATTTGCACATTATAATTAATTACAAATGGTGACCTTCATCTTGAACTTATTTTCCACCATCAGGGAAAAATCTTGAATTTCAATGTCCAAGAGCTAAAAATACTTATTTATAAAACCTGTTGAAAGTAAACTGTATTGAAAATCATGTTTTATGTAGCTAATCCAGAACTTCAGATTCTAAATAGAAATGGGAGAAAATAACTTTAAAAATTATGAATATGGCATGATAAGTAACCAAAAGGGCATTTTTCATCTAGTTTACAGTGAAACAAGGTCTTTTTCACATTCTCATTCAGGAAACATTTCTGTATTCAACAAGCATATACTGACTACAAAGTACATGCTGTGGTCTCTTATCTCTTAGTCTCACTTTTAACGTTTAATATAGTTCTCCCAACAGTATCATTTTTATTTCCTAACACATATCTATTCAAATCTCTCCTTAAAAATATTATATATGTATTACCTGCAATAGAATACAGCGAGTTTCTTAAGAGTTTAAGACTAAAAATAATACTAATCCTCTCAAATTTAAAACTCCATTTAAAAAAATTTTAACAAGGTTGCTTAAATAATTATCAACCTTTAGTCAGTCATGTGCCCCATTCATTATAAGATATGTTTCACTATAGAAAATAGTGGTAGCACACATTTATCACTATTCAAGCACTATTCTAAGTACTTGACACATTTTAGCTCATTTTATTCCTCCCATCAAAACTATGAAGTAGATGTAGACTGTCCGTATATTACAGATGAGCTTATGAGGCACAGAAAAATTAAATAATTTGCATAGTAGGTTTACAGAGCTCCTAAGTGGCAGAACCAGACCAGGCAGTCTCTCTCCAGGGTCTGTGCTCTTAATCACCACACTTTGCTGAACACATAATAGTAGTTTTCAATTCTGGATATGCATTAGAATCACCCATGGAGCTCTAAAAACAATACTGCCCAGCCCAAACCTAGGCCTGAGGATTAGAAACTCTGATGGTTAAGATCTAGGCATCTCAGTTTTTTAGAAAAGGGCTGATATAACCATTATGCTGGATTGTCTTTGGCCCTAGAAGTTTCATTTTACTCCTGTTATTAGTAACCAAAAAGGAAAGACCTCAGTTTTTTACCCAGTATAATTTTAAAACATCCATTATCTTGTACCTTTGAAATTGAATTAAATTAGATGGTTTGTGTGTGTTCAGTTTATTTAAATTTATTTTTTCATTGATGACTCTAAAATGAGAAATATCAACTGAAAAAATTAACATTTAGCTATGAAACCATTATAAATTTAATTATATAATTTTCATTTTGCATGTTATGGCGATTTTAATTTTACTTGTATCTAATTAGTAAATGGAGTATTAATATATGTAAATTTTCTTTTGTAGTGCTCAGGGAATTGTTTATTCCATGTTGATGTTACAGCAAATGTATAAGGAACTCTTCAGATCTGGAATTGACATTTTAATGAATTATTTCTTGATATTTTTTTTTTGTGCCTGTGCCCTCAAGACTTTCTTAAATGGTTTTTAAAATAGAGTAAAATTTAGCTGCTGTAAAATGCACAGATCTTAACCATATAGATAGTTCAGTGCATTTTCATATGTTTACATCCATGTAACTACCACCCCAAACAAAATATAGAACATTTCCATCACCCCAGAAAGTTCCCTTATGCCACCTACTAGCCAGTCTGCCTACGCAGCCACTGTTTTGATTTCCATCACACTAGCTTGGTTTTGCCAATACTTGAACTTCATATATATGAAGTCTTTTATACCTCGTTTCTTTTCCTCAACAAAATATTTTTGTGATTTTCTTCCATGTTGTTGAATGTATCTGTATAGTTCATTCATTTTAATCAATGAGTAATACTCAGTTGTATAAATATACCTCAATTTGTTTATTCAGTCTCCAGTTCGTGGGCATTTGGGTTGTTTCCAGTTTGGGGCTATTATGAATAAAGCTGTGTTGTTTAATTTCCAAATATTTGGGGTTTTTCTAAATATCTTATTGGTATCGATTTCTAATTAATTTTGTCATGTCAATTAAGTCAAAGTAGTTGATAGTATTGCTAGAATCTTCAATAGCTTTACTGATTTTTATTTTTGGGTCTAGTCCTGTCAGTTACTGAGGGAGGGGTATTAAAGTCTCCAGCTATGATTCTGGATTTATTTCTACCTTTTCTTTTTTTTGTGTTGTCCTTGTCTGGTTTTGGTATCAGGGTAATGTCAGCTTCGTAGAATGAGTTAGGGAGCTTCCCCCCCTCCTCAATTTTTT